AGGAGGTGAAAGGACACAATTTTAGAGAAGAAAATTTTTCGGTCGCTACCCGGATTCGAACCCGGGTCCTTTGAATGAGAGGCCAACACCTTAACCTCTAGGCCACGAGAGCCCCCCACCGGTAGTATACATGTCTTCAATTTTGCAGTAAAATAGAAGAATAGCTAATTATTTTCGGTATATATCTAATGGTTTGAGTAGCACAAAATTATTTGCAAGGTCTCTTCCCTTTAAAAAAATTTTGACAGTGACATTGTGGGCCTATTAATTTATTACTAGTTACTAGTAGAGTAAATCTATGGTTTCTCCTGTGTCCGATGACATCCTTTCCACCCTCAGTTCCTTGGAGAGCTGGAGAGGGATTTTTAAAAAAGGGTGGCGTCTTCACGCTTTTTATGTTTATTTATTTTCGTTTTCGTTTTTTTGTTTCAGTAAATGTTTTACGGATTAGATCGACGTAAGATATTACCAGAGAGCAACCTTCAAAGAAACGATGGAGTGTCTTATTGGAACCGACAGCTGTCAACCACGACACAAACTTTCCCTGTCCTTGTGACAAACTCCTCCATGGCTCCTGACACTGATAGCAAAGACGCCCAGAATAAAGCACAAACCAAAACACAACCTCTACGGTGATTTAAAATAATTCTCAGTGTGTTGTCGCTCATCTTATTGATTCTTATATTATATTATTTTGAGGGTCTTGACTACTGTGAGAAGCCTCGTTCAGGAAACAAGTTGTTTTTTCAGCCAGACTCTTGTTTTGACACGTCTTAAAAAATCTTTTACGTTATAACAGGATAATTTTCCGAAGTTCTAGATGTGTAAGATTTCTCTAATAGGAAAAAACAGATTTTCCTCCTCTCTCACCCCCGGCCGCTCCCACTCTTCTATCTGTCTATCTGTCTATCTGTCTATCTGTCTGTCTGTCTGTGTGTCTGTCTGTCTGTCTGTCTGTCTGTCTGTCTGTCCGTCTCTCTCTCTAGTTTTAGGTCAGTGGTTCCAGGGAAGACATACATAAACTAGCATTTTGTTGTAAAGTGCATAGAACTGACGTCAGAACAGCAACAAAAATACGTCAGACACACTTTCACATTAAAATCTGTTTAGTATAAATTTAACTTCGTTAGTACTTACTTACTACCCATTACGCCATCTGGCGTCTAGGGCAGCAACAAAGGATCTCCAGCTCTGTCTGTTTTGGGCCATCTTGGTCAGCGTTCGCCACGAATGATTCGAGGACTTCATTTCAGACTCTACTGTGCGCCTTCAGGTTACTTTGGGTCTGCCCCTTTTGCGACGTCCTTCGGGTGTCCAGTGGAGGACAGTCTTCACAATAGAGTCTGGTTCTCTTCTCAGAACATGTCCAATCCATCTCCATCTTCTCCTTTTTATTATGATGGTCATGTCCTCTTGCTTACATTTACGTAACAGATCTGCGTTGGAGATCTTGTCGGGCCAGAAGATTCTGAGAATTTGGCGTAAGCTGGTTGTATGAAAGGAAAATAGCTTGGCACGGTCATGATCAGTCATCCTCCAGCATTCAGCTCCATATAGGAGTGTGGATAGTACACAGCTGTTATACAGCTTTAAATTGAACTTCGTTGTAGTTGCTGTCTTTTTTTTTTTTTTTTTTTTTTTGGGGGGGGGGGTCCCGCTGCCCCCCTCACTAAATTACGTGTATTATCTATGATTTTCACCCGAGGCGCTTACCATGAACAATTTCTACCTTTACCATCCAACCATTACAGGTAAATGTATTAAACAATTTTCTAAAAGAAGATTCCCGTCATCATGTATAAAATCTTTCTATATCGGGGAGCAGCAACAGTACTGATTGAGCCCCCCTTCCTGCCCCCTTTCCACCAGATTCTCACTATGTAGCATAGGATGTTAGCCAATAGAGACAAGATTCCGAGGATTTTACATGCTCTTGTCTATAAAAGAGGAACCACTCGTTAGAACTCTGATGTGAAATCTTGCCTTTATATATCAGGCAATTATCATTTTCTAGACGTAGGAAGAAAATTGCAATGAATTACATGTATCATAATCAATGTCAGTGTGTAGCTGGTACGGGTAGTGCAGCTCGTTGTTCCATTGTTAGTGGCTTTGAGAAAGCTTTAACTATGTTAGTTTGTAGGTGAAGGCTTCTGGGTAACAAAGCCCCAAACAACCAGACGGTTTTAAGAACCCTAAGTCCCACCCCAGAAAAGCCTTTTTTTTTCATCACGAAGTTAATAAAAGCAGTCGTCTTTGATCCTCCACACTCGATCAAGATAATTAGAAACATTTATCAATCACGATTTCTATACACTTGATGATATTGCGAGCAGGGCTGCAATCGACATTTTTAATGAAAAAGACAGTGCCTTAGGTTCATTCAGTGTGGCACCCAAGTTAC